TTTCTGCCTGACTTGGAGTCTATTTTCTAGGAATTTAAATCTACAATAATCACATTGAAAAATGTTCATTAATATGGGAAGATATTTGAAATATATTGCTAAATTAAGAATGCAGATCATCCATTTCTTTCCCCCAATATGGCCAACTTCATTTACTAAAAACCCCTTTGATATGAACTTCTACAATCACAAAGTAAAATATACAGGGTGTCCATAAAGTTCGTGTGCAAATTACTATGTTAAAGTATTTTAAATTGAACTGGAACTTTATGTCCACCCTGTACAAAAATTCTTTTAATTGCATAGTTGAACCCCAAAGAAATAAAGGAAAACTCCCAGATGTCAAAAAATGAGAAAACTGAAAACCAGAGGGGTGATTTTATCAGTGGTTGCTCTTGTAAGGGAGCTCCAATTTTTAACAACCACAGGGACAGAAGATGAGGTTTTGGGCCCAAGGGTCCTATGATAAAGCTGAATGGGCCCCTGAAAGGACTGTACCTTCCATAAAAGGTTAGACTAGGAAAAAATCTGCCTCATGACAGAGAGAAAGAGCAAAGAATCTTAACTTGTTTCTGTCTAAGCACTAGGTGGAAGAAAAAAGTTCCTCTGAAAATTAAAGCACAGGCCTGTAACTCAAGTATGGTGTAGGTTTTAATTTATACTACCTGCATGGCTTGGGAATTTTTACTCTGGCAAAAGCACAGGTAAAATTGTTTTTAAGGGATGTTCCCACAATATCAACCGTAAGTGATTTTCACAGAATTTTTTAAAAGCTCTATTAAAGAAATTATCACAATAAAAAACTACAGGAGTAAATTTCCTGTTGTGAATGCGCATCAGTGGACGTAGTCACCAGTAAGATTAGAATCTTGAGATTACTGAACTAGAGAGAAGATTTGAGAAAATGACCCAGGATTAAGAACAAAAAGAGATGGGAAATATGATAGAGGCTAAAAGACATGGAGGATAGAATGAATGGTTCAACCTTTATCCAAGAGGAGTTCCAGAAGAAAAATAGAGAAAATGGGAGAAAGGCAATACTCAAGGAGATAATGGAGGAGAACTTTCCAGAATTGATGAAAGGCTTAAGAAGTACAAGTGTTAAGTAAAATTAAAAAAAAAAATAGATCCTGAACTAAACATATTATAGTCAAATTGCCAAAAACCAAAGAGAAAAGTCTTTAAAACTGCCAGACAAAAGTGAAAGATTACCTACCAAGGAACAACAATGGGACAGACAACAGACTTTGAAATTACAATAGTATAGGCCGGCCAGAACACAGGTAAATAATATCTTCCAAGTTCTAAGGGAAAATATCTGTCAACCTAGATTTCTAACCCCAGCTAAATTATTATTCAAGTTTATGGGGACAATGCTATGAAGCAAACAGCAGTGTACAAATGAATTAAATGCTTTTCTGAGTGGAAAGAAAACCTCACTGATGGAGAGATCAGGGCAGCCAGTAACGAGCAGAACTGATGAATACATTGCAAAAATTCATCAAATTGTACATCAAAATCATCAGCTGACTGTGAGAAGCATAGCAGACCAAATAATAGATAGAGAAATAGGAAAATTCTCTATCTTTCCTGATAGAGAAACAGGAAAATCTTAACTGAAAATCTTGGCATGAGAAAGGTGTGTCCAAAAACAGTCCCAAGGAAGCTCACCAACGCACACTGTGAGGGTGTTTTTAGCCGGTAACAAATAACTATGTTGGAAAACCCTCCCTACTCACCTGATCTGGCCCCCAATGACTTTTTTCGTTACCCAAAGATAAAGGAAATATTGAAAAGAAGGCATTTTGACGACATTCAGGACATCAAGGGTAACATGACAGCAGCTCTGATGGCCATTCCAGAGAGTTCCAAAATTGCTTTGAAGTGTGGACTAGGTGCTGGTGTTGGGGCATAGCTTCCCCAGGTGTGTCCTTCAGAGTTGACTATAGTGATATTCAGAAATCAAGTATGTAGCACTTTTTCCAGGATGAGTTCACCAACTTAATCGTCTGACCTTGTAGTTTAAAACAGATATTTATGTGTTTATGTCTTCATTATGTGTCTCCCTTGTGACACTGTCGGTTCCGTGAGGGCAGGGACCACATCTGCTTTGCTTATGACTATATCCCCAGTACCTAACACAGTGTCAAGCATGTGGTTAAATGTTCAGTGATTTGTTGAAATATAAATGAGTGAATGAATGAATGAATGAATGAATCCCTACAAAACTACTGGAGATGATGGAATAAAAACAACAAGGTAAAGAAGTTCACGAAGGAGAAACATGTAGGCTATGCTATGATACAATTGTGGCTCAGCTTCCAGTTTTCCTGGTTATGGCTAAGATTCATTAATAAATGCTGACAAGATAATTTTTCTTTTAAACTCTTTTCTACATTTGCTTTAGTGGACTATTCCCCTTTAAATGAAGAAAGCCCTGTGAATTGGCTTAAAAACAAAACAAAATAATCACTGTAGTCGTTACTTCTGAGGCCAAGGACAGTAAAGTAGGATGATTTCTAGATAGATATAAATCACTGGATCACATTTCATTGTTCTTAAAGCTCTGGTTCATTATATAATTGATACAGCACCACATAACCAAAGACCAATTTAAGTTGGCCTGGATATGCTTTATCTTCTCTTCCAGGGACAACTTGTGCATATTCAGCCAGCTTGAGTAATAATGGTGTTTGTAATTAGGGCCGGAACATAGGAAAAAGAGATACATTTTCCACTGACTCATCCTTACTCTCTAGAGAAGAAAAAACTGTTACTGTGATGGTTAATTTTAGGTGTCAGATTAATTAGATTAAGGAATACCTAGAGTTGGTAAAGCATTACTTTGGGGTGTGTCTGTGAGGGTGTTTCCAGAGGAGATGATCGTGTGAGTCTGAACGGAATAGGGATGGAATAGGTGGGGAAGATCTGTCATTGATGTGGGCAGGTACTGTCTACTCTGCTGGGGTTTCTGAGAGAACAAAAACAGAGAAAAGCTGATCATGTTGATCTACCTGCTGAAACTGGGGTACACTCTTCCTCCCCGGTCCTTGGACAACTCCTCCAGACTCCCCAGCCTTTGGACGCTAGGATGGACAGTGGCACCCTCCATTCCTCTACCACTCATTTTCAGGCCTTTGGCTTTGGACAGAAAGATACATCATTGGCTTGTGTGGTTCTGAGACCTTTGAACTGGAACTGAGGCACACTACTTGCATCCCAGGGCCCCAGCTTGCAGATAGCCTGTCGCAGAAATTCTTGGCCTCCATAATCATGTGAGCCAATCCCCTTGATAAATCTCCCTCATATATCTCTCTATGTATACCGTATTGATTGTTTTTCAGGATCCCTGCCAAATATAGGTATTGCATAGATTTGCCCCAGAGTTTAAACTTTAGGGTATATTCTCAAGTTTTTAAAATACAGCATTTTAAATATATACTAAGAAAGCAAAGTAGGAACTTTTAGGTCCTGTAACATCATAGACTTAAATTCACAGACACTACCTTTCTTTAAGTTAATCCCACCTTCAACTCTTGCCCCCACAGAAGAAAGTTGTGGTAGTAATTTAAATGTTAAATTCACTGTAAGAGCTTAGTGTTTTAACACAACTACTATTTTCCAAAATGGTCTTTTCATTCTATTTGATCTAGTCACAAACTAGATGCTTGGTAGTTATATACATAATTATAAAAAGTATCTGCTTGGGCTTGGCACCTGTAGCTAAGTGGTTAGGGCATCAGCCACATAAACTGGAGCTGGCGGGTTTGAACCTGGCCCAGGCCTGCTAAACAACAATGACAACTACAACAAAAAAATAGCCAGGCAGGTACCTATAGTCCTAGCTACTTGGGAGGCTGAGGCAAGAGAATCTCTTAAGCCCAAGAGTTTGAGGTTGCTGTGAGCTGTGACACCACAGCACTGGACCAAGGGCATCATAGTGAGACTCTGTCTCAATAAGTAAATAAATAAAAAGTATCTGCTTGAATATTAATAGTTCACATAGAAGAGATGAACATTTTTTAGTTGCTTATCTCTTTTCAAAATTTACTCCGAGGTAACTGCACAGTTCTAAAATAATGTGCAAGGTCAAATCACACAAGCTTTAAAATATAATTTTTTCACAAATAATTCTGAAATCAACTTATGTAATATAGTTATAGAAAGAAGCAAGGGGCATTGGCACAATTCATAAAAGCAGCTATGTCCATTAAAAAGATAGGAAAATGAAAAAAAAAGATAGGAAAATGAAGGAGAATAGGATTTATCAATGTTTTACACTTTTCTTTATATCACTTTTGAATGTCAAGGATTTCACTTAACTAAATATAAGCACAGCACTGCTAATAATTATTAGTGCACATAAGAAAATTTTTAACCTAACTAGATGCAAGCATTGGAAGCCTGACTGAAGAAGCCAAATAATACTGTGTGCCCAAAAGTATTTCTTATTCAAGTAAACATGTGGCCAGTATGGTGCACAAAGCTTTGTCACCTGGATATTCCAGAATAATAGTGAGAGCCTAAACAGAGAACACTTCACATCCATCATTTGATCAAATCAATAAAAAGACAACTAAATAAACTTTTCTGGTGAGAATAATGACCAATTACTATGCAACTGGTTGCATTGTAGTGTAATTAATTAGCTTAAGTTCTTCAGACTACTGAAATAAGTGAACCAACCATTTCATAGTCATATTTCAGTTATGTAATTCATCATATAACAATCTGTCTAGTTAACCTGTAAATATTCTTTTGAGCTATCATCATAAAAATAAAGTAGCTCATTAGTATGAGAAAACAACATTTCTTAACAGAGTAATAGAAATGACCAGAATATCACTAGAATTGAATTTTTGCCCTTTCCAAAATGTATCAGAATAATAAACAGGATATAGAAAACATTAACCAATTTTTTCCAAGGCTTTTTAATTGCCGCCAATGCCACTTTACCCTTTTTGTAAAAGGGTACACTTTACCCTTTTACGCATGCAGTTTCAGAAAAAATTAATGAAATCCAACTCCCTTTTCATGGCTACGGTGACTTCGAGTGTCTCAGTCTCCAGGATATAAAATGCTTTGGCGCTGCGGCATTCCACAGGATGGGGAAGGGTCACCAACAGCTTCCTTAAACACATACACACAGAAACAAAAAAAAAAAAAATAAAGCTTAGGATTAGTTTCCTAGAGTGATATATCACTTTCAATAAGGCAATAGGATGCAACGCCTACCACTAGAATGTTAGAAACCAAAACCCCCACATATCTAGACAGTGTAAATACTTGATCAAAAATATGCCTAAATAACACAAATAGTAGACCAGTTTCTTGGCCTTAGAAATCCAATCATTTGTTTTGGATCCCTTCTTTTTTCCTAACTGACCTCATTTTGCATTGAATAAACCATATAGGCACAGAAATAGAATCTTATGTGTAGATGGAATGGGGCTGAAAATTGGAATGGTTCGAAAACACTTGTGCTAACACAGCTTTCAGCTGAGTCTCTACCACAGGTGTAGTTTTTCAAACTCTGGCCTGGAATGATTTCAACACCAGATCAATGGAAGTGTTTCTCTCTGCTTGCTTCTGATTCTTTATACTACACATTGACAAAAATTCTCTGTGATAGATTGTTAGGTTTATTTTGTGGTTTATGGCTCAGTTGCTGGATAGTTGTATGCTTTAGATGCATTGCTAGGATGAGACATCCATAATTCTGTCATAGTGGTATGAATCTGAATTATGCATGGGGTCAGCACATGCTGGTTTGGGAAGAAAATTAAATGCATGAAACACTTGTTACCTCACATTCTCAGTAGAGAAGGCCTGAGTATCTATAAAAGGTGGCCAGAAGGTTCTTTTAGAAAGTATCATATCCAAATCAGTAAAGGAATCTGAGTTTTTTGTTAGGGACACTTTATTGGGTACTTCAATAGAGAACTAGTACGTATTTGAAAACAAATGCCTTGAAAATCAATGCCCTCTTTAACTGATTTGCAAAAACCTAAGTTTAGGAAACTGGGCTCATTAAAAGTATTTATTACACATTTCTGGAACCTAAAGGAGAAATTTTCTGTGTCTCTTGTGGGGTAAGAGAAACCCCACCCTTCCACCCGAAGTAATTAAACCGGCATTGCATGCTAAAGTAGCCTGTAAAATTTGGCATCTCAAAAAAAAGTGAGTGCAAAAATGTTTAGAGTCCATTCTTTAAAGCTGTTTACAATATAGGTTGTACTAGAGTTAGATTTACTTTATCCTTTATTCTGTAAATGATAATATATTCACTTTAAGAAGAAAGCAAAGCTTAGTGTGGTAGTTTCATTGCACTAAAAGACAACTATAAATCAGCTGAAGAAGGAGTTCCAATGATAATGTGCACTTCTCTGTCCAGAGAGAAATAAATTCAAAAGAGACAGTTAGTGGCCATTGGAATGATCCATCTATCCCTGCATTTCTGTCTAGCTCTGAGTAGTATGGTTTCACATACTAAAATGTTGAACAATAGAACTGTGCAATTTATTTAGGCTCTTAGGAAAAGAGAAACATTTTGGTCTAGTCTGTTTCACTGTCTTGTCTGTATTGAGATTATATTTAAACAAAATAAAAATTCTAAAAATACTTATCCAAGTACAATTCACTAAAGGACAAAAGCATATCTTATCTTGGTGACCCCCTAGAGATCTAGCAGAAGACTTTAGAAATGGTGGTATGTGACTAAATACATGAATGAAAAGCAAGTGTCCAGGTCACCAAAAAATAACATTTGAATAATTGCCACAGATCAGTATTAGAAAATACGAAGAAATATTTAAACCCAATATCTTTGCCTTTGCAAAAGATAATGTATTTGCTTTTTAAGAAGAAACAGTCTAGGCCAGACGTCTTCAAACTATGGCCGGCGGGCCACATACAGCTGCCTAGGACATTTATCTGGCCCACCAGATGTTTTTGCCACCACTACCTGTCCTGCTTAGCAGCCCACTCATCCTGGGGCCCGCAGTCTGGCCCTCCAACCATCTGAGGGACAGTGAACTGGCCCCCTGTTTAAAATGTTTGAGGACCCCTGGCTAGGCACTGATCAGTTGCTCGTCCAGTGTTAATTTTCATTAGAAAATTTTTAAATGCAAATAATAATAAATGAAAGTTAAAAAATTATAGTGAATTCAAGTTTAGAGGCTTACATGCTTAAATTTATATTAGAAAGTTGATGTTGCTTGTAGGAGATTTAAATAAAGGAAAACCTGGTTCTGTGCATAGTCACATAATGCAGATTTCATTTTATGTAGTTAACGGAATTATTTGATTTACATATCTGGGTTAAAAATAGACATGTCCTTTTTAAGGTTTTCTGTAGGAAACATAACTATTTTCAAAGAAAATCTAGAAATAGCTACTGAGCTGTGATTCAACTATTTCACTTAGAAAGCTTTTTTTTAGGTATCAGTGTCTTTAAACATCAATCAACTCTCAATAAATCTGAATTAAAGAAGTACAGCAAAAGTGTTAATAATTTAAACCATCACTCAACCAAAGATTGGCTTGTATAGTTTTGTCTTTAGAATGTATTTTTTAAATTATGTTCAAAGTATTAATTTACGATATTCTTATAATTCGCTTAGAAAAATAATGAAACATCATATGAAGACTTAAGTCAGAAGATTCTGGGAAATTATCCAATTTCCTCCATCTTTCCTCCTGCCCATCTACTCCATGTTGGGAATCTACAGGCCAAAACAACCAGTTGGGGGAAAAATAAAGAACCGAGTAAATTTCTTTATTTCTTTTGGTTGTAAAATGCTAAATACCTGTGTTTTATTGATAATTCCAATGCAATTGACTACTATTTGACTGAAATCGCTGGTTAATTCAGTTAAAATAAATAAACTGCTCTGCCTTATACATACATGAAAAGAATGCCCTCTCTTAAATCTTCCTCAGACTGGATAAATACAGTTATAGGATGTCAAAGTTAGAAACTCAAGAAAGCAGGTGTGACCGTCAATAAGCTATAAAGAAAGACACATTGTGCTGATACTACAATTTTAGATGATAGCATGGCTCTAAAAGATGCTCAAGTATTTCAGAAAACATGATTAAAAATCTTAATGCTTTCTAATATGAAAGCAGTAGGTGATCTAATACAAGGTGGGGGGTAGGGGAATAAGGGAGCATGGAAAGGGGAGGGGGAAGGGGATGGGGGCTCACAGTGTATGGCACACTCCTGGGGGTGGGACACAATTATAAGAGGGACTTTACCTAACAAATGCAATCAGTGTAACCTGGTTCTTTGTACCCTCAATGAATCCCAAACAATAAAAAAATAAAAATAAAAATCTTAATGCTATCTTCTGTCTTCTATCTTAATTAAGAACATTTACCTTTCTGCACTGAGTATTTTATGTATAAGTATGCTGTGATCCAAATGGCCTAGTGCAGCTTGGGTTCTTTGTGGAAAAGTACCTCTGTGTGAGACTTTCATTTACTGGGTTCTGATAGATATCTGGAATGGCAGCATAGCCACAGCAGCTGCCTAATGATTGATGGAGATGGTGAGAAATGCTAGGAAACGGAAATTAACTCCATGGTGTGTAAATATATGTGTGCTTTAACAAGCATGCAAATATCATGGAAGATTGACTGTTCATTTAACCAACTTTCCTTGTAAAGGTTATGTAGAAGAGCAAATGCATATATGAAATTCAATGAAAAGGGTACAATACTCCTTGAAGTAAATAGCAGGAAAAGTGAATGCTATTTTTATAACGCGAGACAATTATTTTGTGGGAATATGTACGTTTTTGAAATGATGTAAATAATGAGAAAATATTTGATACATATTCATCTGTAGACCATTTTGGGTGAAATGCATCTACTATAGAAATCAAGATTAAGCTATGTATGCGCATTGGATTTTTACCCATAGGAATCTTTGGTAGGGGGAAATCTACTTTTTATTTTCTCGAAGCCTTAAGATCAACAAAGGCGAATTATAGGTACTGATAACGGAGGGAGGAAAATGTGCCAGCAACTGCCTGCTCCCCAGACCCAGTTTGAAATGTTCATGAGTTACAGATAAAAGAGTACTACATCAACCAGTGTGTGCTCACTGCTATACATCCAGATGAAAAGTGAAAGAAGCAGTGAGATAGTTAGATATTTGATCTAACACATGCCAGATTCCATTGATTCCCTCTTTCTAGAGTTAGTTTTGAGAGACAGGACTGATTTATCCATGTTGCCATAGAAACAGTTTATATCAAAATTTTGCTGTATGTGCTATATTTTTTGTAACATGATTTGAACCTATGTAACAACAAAACTATGCTTGAAAACATCAAAATGTTTAAATGAATTATTCCACGTTCTTCTGTACTGTTTTTAAATGTATTCACACAGTTTGAGAATCTAACAGAAAATCAGCTGCTAGAATTTTAAGTATTGCTGACAAGGCATTTTTGTGGATTTTCGAGTGGACACAAACAAATGTAACTTTAGGGTCCCATGACATACAAGAAGTTTAAAGACTGCTCTTATGCAATCAATGTACAAAAACAACATGCAAGACTTGTAATGTAAGGCCTTTTCACTTCTAGCTATTTTTCCTGACAGATACACAAACTATATTTATTAATTTTTATTATTTATTTCAGATTAACATGAAGGTACCAACAATCAGGTTACAATGTTTGCATTTGTTAGTTAAGGTCCCCGTTGTAGTTGTGTCCGGTACCTAGGAGATGTGCCATATACCCTTACATTGTACCCATTAGGTGGAAGCACACCGATGCCTACCCTCTCCTCCTCTCTCTTCCCCCCCCCCCACTTGAATTGAATTGAGTCACAAACTACATTTAAATGTCAAGGATTATGTTGTGTGGGTTATATATTAGCCCCCTCCAATAATATGGATGTAAAGTAGAAAAAAGCCTAACTATTTGCAAACATACTTGTGTTTATATTATGTAGACCAAACATCTGAATGGTTAACTAGATTTTTCACATCTCTTCAGACTTTAGGAGGTGATACAAATGAACTATGTATACTTTAAAAATAACATTGACTAAAGATTAATTAATATTATAATACATTATTCTAGTTCTAAGTTTTACTCACTTATTAGGAGTGCGAAGGTCAAAGACTGTTTCCTGGATATCAATTTTAATTTCAGAAGGGTTTGTATTTGGTAGTTTAATTTTAACCTGAAAGAGAAAGTGAGAAGAAAAATACTATTACCTTGGAGAATAGTTAATTTGAAGAGTGTAAGAATATACGTGGAATGGAGAACTAATATTTAAGTGACAACTATGTTCCAAGCTATGCCCTATCTTTATATCAATCTTGAGAAGCAGGGACTATTTGTCTTATTTTAAAGATAGAGAGAAACTGTAACAGAGAAATTTAATGAGTGTATCAAAGGCAACCATCTGTAATTTGACTAAGGCTTAGCTAACTCCAGAGTTATATAGAAAGACTTTGGTTATTTGCCTGTAACCTTCACTGACTGAAGGTGCATACAAGTGTACCTGCTAAAGTTGGGGACCTTGGACCACTTTTATATCAGTGGGCAATGTATATAAAAAATGTTTAGTTCCCACATTGGGTGTGGGTTGGTAATGCCATCTTGTAGTCTCTTAGAATAAACTCCCACATCATAGCTCCTAGGGAGGTATAGGAGTCCAGAAAGAGTCTTGTTGTGTTGCTATCATAACAAGAGAATTAATAATATGACTCCCCCCAAAAAAGGACTATTTATTGAATCTTTAGTAAGATTTCACTCAGAAATCTCGCATCTCAATTACCACATGACCCAGCACCTCCACTCCTGGATATACCAAGAACACTGAGAATAAGTGTTCAAACAAAAACATGGACACTGTGTTTGGGTTTGTGGTAGCATTATTCATAATAGCTAAAATGTGTGGGCAACCCAAATGCGTATCAACTGCTGAGCGGATAAACAAAATGGGGCATATCCATATCATGAAATATTATTCTGTCATATAAAAGAATAAAAACCTAAAAACGTTATGGTAAGTGAAAGAAGCCAGGCACAAAAAGCCACATATTCTAGTATTCTACTTATATGAAAAGTCCACAATATGCAAATCAATAGAGACAAAAAGCAGATTGGTGGTTGCTAGGGCCTGGGGAGACAGAGAAAAGGGGAGTAACTGCTTAATGTGTATGAATTATATATTGGAAATGGTTGCACAACATTGCGAATATACTAAATTTCACTAATGATAAATGTTATAGTATGTATATTTTTACCACAACAGTCTCATCTCTCAGTCTAATTTATATTATTTCTTTTCTGATGGAAGTTGATGAGATCTACATATACAAGATGACACGGTTTATGGTTCCCAACCATAAAGAAACAAAGAAGATGCAACCTAAAGTTCAGGTAAATTATGAAGCCTACTCTAAAATGAGCTAGAAGACTTGAAATATTAGACAGCTGGTGATTTCATGGCTGGAATGGCCAGAACAAAAGCAGCAAGTTATGAGGAAAATGCATATCAAATAAATAATGGGAAATTACTTTTAAGAAGCTTAAAATAGGCAATTATGTTTTTGCAATATAACATATGTGGAACAATACATGTCTGTGAATTATATTTGACTGGATTAAATCTGTATATAAACAAAGATTTGTAATAGAGCTGTAGAAGTGCTACTATCTAAATAATTCCTATGATTAATATTTTTACTTAACCAATAATTACCTCCTAATTTATAGGTTGAAAACCCAGATCTCCTTAATTAGAGAGGCTTTAAGTGAGAGAAACAGAACATTTCTCAAAGAGGTAGTTATAGGTGCTCTGCCTCAGCAAATGAGTATCTATTGAACAAAGAAAGCCCCACTTTTACTGTAATAATATTCAAGTCTTTTTTTTTTTTTTTTTTTTTGAGACTTTTCCCCCAGGGGGGAATCCCGACCAACCACACCTCATAATAACTTTAAAGTCTTAGACTCAAGTGATTCTCTTGCCTCCGCCTCCCAAGTAGCTGGGACCACAGGCGCCTGCCACAATGCCTGGCTATTTTTTGGTTGCAGCCATCATTGTTGTTTGGTGGGCCCAGGCTGGATTCGAACCCACCACCTTGGGTGTATGTGGCTGGCGCCTTAGCCACTTGAGCCACAGGCGCCGAGCCAATATTCAAGTCTTAGAGCCAAGTTGAGATATTCTTTTCTGTTTTGTTTTGTTTTGTTTTTTAACTCACCACTGTACTAATGAGGTACTAATGAGGAGGGAAGACGTGGTCTTTAACATCTCGTGTTGATTCAAGTCACATGGACCAAGGAGTGTTCTTTAGTCTGAAATGTTTAGATCTTTCAAGGTAAAATCTTATTTTTGCAGAGTTAAAATGATAATTGAAAGAGAAAAAAATTATGACATGCACAATTTAGATATAATTTTTGGGCAGAACTTTGAAGTGGTTCTTAAAATCATTTGCTGTTCTAGTGAAGGATAATTCAGGAACAACTCACTAATTTTTCCTCTTAAGAAAATTAAAATTGTATACTAAAATGGTTTCAGAGAAAGGACAAATTAGGTAGAATGGTATACACTAATATCTGTCAAGATAGAAGATTCAATGAGAAATCTTAACAGAAAAACATCTCCTGAAGCATGAATCAGACTTCTTTAGCAATACTTTCAATGACTACCTGGAAAATAAACATGGCTATTAATTGACCTCTAACTGAGTGTGCTCAAGACCTAACTTGTTAAATATTAGTAGATACAGGATGATGTAACTGACCAAACAAAGGTATTGATGTTCCCCTCTTTACATAGGTTGCAACTTGAATTCATTTCAAAGAATGAATTATTATTGTTTGGGATTCATTGAGGGTACAAAGAATTAGGTTACACTGACTGTGGTTGTTAGGTAAAGTCCCTCTTGTAATTGTGTCCCACCCCCAAGAGGCATACCATACACTGTGACCCCCTCCTCCCACTTCCCCTCTTTCTGCTCCCTCATCCCCTTATCCTCCCTTGTATTAGTTCATCTACTGCCTTCATATTAGAATTGAGTACATTGGATTCTTGCTTCTCTATTCTTGTGATGTTTTACTAAAAAGAATGTGTTCCACTTCCATCCAGGTTAATACAAAAGATTAAAGTTTCCATCATTTTAAATGCCTGAATAGTATTCCACAGTATACATATACCACAGCTTGTTAATCCATTCCTGGGTTGGTGGGAATTTAGGTTGTTTCCACATTTGGGTGATTGTAAATTAAGCTGCGATAAACAGTCTAGTGCAAATGTCCTTATGATAAAAGGATTGTTTTTTCTTCTGAGTACATGCCCAGTAATGGGATTGCAGGATCAAATGGGAAGTCTAATTTGAGTTCTTTGAGGGTTCTCTATACTTCCTTCCAAAAAGGTTGCATTAGTTTGCAGTCCCACCAGCAGTGCAAAAGTGTTGCCTTCTCTCCACATCCATGCCAGTATCTGCAGCTTTGAGGCTGTAATGTGGGCTATTCTTACTGGGGTTAGGTGATATATCTCAGGGTGGTTTTGATTCACATTTCTCTGATGATCGGGGAGGAGGACATATGGCAGAAGGAGGGAGGGCATGAGGTGGGATCTCACCTAATGTGCACATTGTGAGGGTGTATAACATGCCCCTTGGTGAGGGGCTCTCCTACAAAGGGAACTTTACCCTGGAAGTGAGAACAATGTAACCTAAATATTTTATCCTTGTATTAATTTGAATAAAGTTTTAAAAAAGAAATAATGTACAATATTCACTATTATTATATCATATGGTTCTGGAGATACTAACTGATGCAATTTAAAAAGAAATGGGAAGTAAAAATATTGGAAAGGAGGAGATAAAATTATCATTATCTGAGGGAAGAGTATTCCGGGTGGAATGAATAGCAAGGAATTAGGAAATAACTTGGTGTGTTGAAAGAGCAGAAAGAAGGCCAAGGTAAACAGAACATAACAAACAAGGAAGAAAATATGTCACTGGACAAAACTGTAGAAGTAAGGGTTAGATCATACAGAGCCCCATAGGTTCAGATTGGGAGTTTGTATTTTGTTCTAAGTGCAACAGGAAGCCATTGAGGGTTCTAAGGAAAAAAGAGACATGATCTGATTTACTTTGGAGATGATCTCTTATACTCTCTGTGGAAAGGCTGTAGGGAAGCAAGAGTCAAAGCAGGGAGATGAGTCAGAAGAGAATCAGTAGAGACAAAAGTGGTTTGTAACGTGATAGCAATTGTGGTGGTAATGAAAATTAGATAAAGGTAGAATATATTTTTAAGACACAGCCAGTAAGACTTGCTAATAGATTAAATATGAGGGATAAAGGAAAGAGGAATGAGAGGTCATTTAGGTTTTAACTTGAGCAAAACTGAATGCATGTTGTTGCCATGAGGAAGATACGTGAGAAAGAGGTTTGGGGGAAACAATTAAGAGTTCTCTTGGCTCGGCACCCGTAGCTCAGTGAGTAGGGCACCGGCCACACACCAAGGCTGTGGGGTTAGAGCCCGACCCGGGCCTGCTTAGCAACTATGACAACTGCAACAAAAAATAGCCAGGCATTGTGATGAGAGCCTGTAGTCCCAGCTACTGAGGCTGAGGGAAGACAATGGCTTAAGCCCGAGAGTTTGAGGTTGCTGTGAGCTGTGACACCACAGCACTCTACCAAGGGTGACATAGTGAGTCTCAAAAAGAAAAAAAGAGTTCTGTTCTAGATATTAGGTTTGAGTTGCCTTTTAAACAAATAAGAGGTGCCAAGTAAGTAGCTGGTTACGTGAATCTCTAAAGCTTTGGGGAGAGATCAGGACTAGAGAGAGAAATGGTATTTAAAGCTGTGGGACTAGGTGGAAAGAGGATAGAGAAAAAAGACACAGGTCAAAGCTCCAGAGAACTTAAAGGGAGTACCAATGATTTGGGAGAAAAGGCGAGGAGAAATGCTCAGTAATTTTGGAAGAAAACCAGGAGAGAGTAGGGTCATTAAAATAAAAAAGAAACCATGTTTCATGAAGGAGGAAGAAGCCAAGAGGCTGGAACCCCACTGAGTAGTCTCCTTCATGTCTTCCATTTCCATTTTTCTAAACAGTGTTTCTAAACTAGAGGGAAGCAATGGTAACATTTTTTTTTTGTATAAGACAATTCTTCATTCTTCAGGGCTGTCCCTCTTGTTTCAACCCTTTCCCTCTTGCTGCAAC